TAAATATATAATATATAAATATATATAAATATATGTAAATATATGTAAAATACAAAGCATGCATATATAAAAATACAAATACATGCATATATAAATATATATAAATATATGTAAAATACAAAGATCTGATTGTTTCTTGCTTATTCTTTGGATTAACTTAATAAGATTAAACGTGGTAAATAATTAAGTGTAATTATTGACCACATTTATCAGTTGGTTTTTGGTCTAATGTAGTTATATTTATTGAGTCAGCCATTTTTAAAAAGTTGTGTTGAAGCAAAAAAAAATTTTTAGGGGAGGAGAGAGGTTGAAGAGACCACAGTTGTTATTTCTCTGGGGGCCAGGATGACCTAAAAACGGGCCCGGGTCTATAACTTAGAAAAGAACATAAGCCTTGCAACGCACAGTGGGCCGATATGTGGATAAAATGGAAAAAAAAATTAGTTTTCTAATCTTGAAAACAAATTTAGTTTTAGTTTCTATATTTATTAAGAAAAAATTTATCTGAGCATTTAAATATCAAAATTTAAAATAAAAAGTTTATAAATTTATAAAAAAAATAAGTTATAAATAGGTAATTTTGGTCAAAGCAACATTGTGTGTTATTTCAAACATATTTGTGCTGCCTAATATTTATTTGAGCTTATCGAGTTTTGATTGATCGCTCATCCCCTTAAGTCTCCGCTCAGATTTTAAATATGCTTTATTTTGGTTGCTATGGTACTTAATTATGCATAGCAACAATCCATTTTAGCATAAAAGTTTTAACAGTTAATTATTTACGCAAAGTACACAATATTAGGCATGTGTATTAAAATGAGATTTTTTAATACACACGCCCAATATCTGATGAATTTGTTATGGGTAACTTACTTTGCATCGCATAGCAACAACATATTTTTGGCTGTTGTTTGTAATTTAATTACTAATATTAACAGTAATTTAATTACTTTTAATTTTAATTACTGTTAACTCTTATAGTATTTTAATTACTAGCAAGAATTAGTAATCCACGCGCCGAATACATTATAGTATTAGACTGTTAAATAGAAAATATTTGTTACAAGAGATATAGATATAGTTTAATTAAACTTAGATTTAGATATAGTTTAATTAAACTTAGACATTCATAATTTTCTTCAAAAAACCAATCTTGTTATTTGAAAATAATGTTACTGAAGATATACTAAAATTTATTCATCAAAAATTTAAAGGCGTTAATTTTAAGCATGCTGTTCAACAATCTGTTTACTTGAAAAATAATAAAAAAGCTGAAATCTGCAAATTATACTACCAAAAACATTGAAAAGAACTTCTTGAATTGGCTTAATGAATATTCATTTGTCAGAAAAAAAGACAATGAACCAACTACAAGTAGACGTGGTCGAAAAATATAATCTACCCGCTTACAATCATGTCAGGGATGCAAAGCTGAAATGTTATCCTGCAAATATAACAGTGGAGGACTATTCAGCTTCAGTTCCTTTAAAAGATTTAATGATTTGTACTTTGCTAAGAATCTGTGCAGTTCAGGAACCTGTGCTGAGGCACATGATGTTGAACGACAAAGCAATAAAAGCAATCACATCACGTTTAAGGTTGGTTTTGATGGTGCTACCAGGCAAAAAACAAGTTTTGTTAATCCCTAACATAAACAATGATTTCAAACGTTAAGAGGCTTTATTTATTACTTGTTTAGTTCCGTTGGATTTAACTGTATTTAACAACACCAATGAAAATGTGCCTGATAGGAGAGATCGAAAGTCATCACCCACAGTCTATTGCAGACAAACCATTAAGGTTTGCATACAAAACGTTCAAAACCTTGAACTACCCATTAGAATTATGTCAGAGGAAACTCAAGAAGCTAGAAACAAAGACTTTAAACCTTATCACAAAAATTTCAGTCGGAAAACAGCCAGAGAAACAAATACTGATCTGATCAATAGACTCCTGTTTTCCAGTGATCCTGTTATTTAATGACTGCGTAAATCAACGCCATATTAAATAAATTATAAAACATTACCTTCAGATGTTTTACTATTACTTAAACAATCTTCAAACGTTTTGTTTTTTTTTTCCATTATTGTTAAAACATTAACTAAATATTTAATAGTATTCAAAATAAATGGGTCAAAAATCTGATAAAATTTATTCAAAAATTAATTTGCTCTTTTGCAACTAAAGAATATATCTGGTAATTAAGCAGTATAAGTTTCCATAGCAACAAAATAAAAAATTATCATTATTATTAGATGCGCGATATTTTATTGGTACTTATGCTAATTTTAGTGAATATAGCGTCGTAAAGTATCTGTTAATATCACAAATAGGTGTTTCTAAGCAAAATTAAGGTAACCATAGCAACAAAATAAAAAATAATATCTTCATAAAAAGCGCAGACATATTAGTACTCATGCTAATTTTTGGGAATTTAGCCTTAATATAAAATTAGTTACGAATTTTGTCCAAAAAAATTCTGACACACTGTGCATTGGATCTGATGCAGTTTTCAGTAAGCTCACTTTTTCTCGATATCTTTTTTTTTTTTTTTTTTTTTTTTTTGCGCTTCTAAGTTCTAAAGTCGAGTTTTATTTTTTATTTAGGAAGGAAATACCTATTTTACCAAGTTAAACATTTAGTTTCTCCGTTGCCATAAGAAAAAAAAATACAGACAACCTTAATAATATGCTCGCCCCTTAACAATTTTTTTTTTACCTCTGTGGAATTGTAGATAAAAGAACTCAATTTGACACATGCTTTATATAAAGAAGAAAAATTCAAAAAAAATATTTTTATTGCTTTTTTGGTATTTTATAATTAGAACCGAATCCATACTCAGTAAATTTAATCCTAAATACACTGCAAGCCTTTTTTTTGAATTGCTGATAGTGTTAGAGATTTAACAAACTTCGTTTTCTTTTTATATTATTGGTTATATTATTTTATATTATTATATTAATATCTCATATTATTATCATTGATCGATTCAATAGAATAAAATATGTGTTTTCTTCATAAATGGTTTGTGTTGGAATCACCTAAAAATTATATTTTATTTTATGTCTGCAGGAGTGAAAATCAACTAGAGTAAATATTCAAAAAAATAACTTTTTTTTTTTAATTGAATCAATATTTTAGTGTTGCCATTGGGTCAGGATTTATTTTTAAATTGATATATTCTGACATTTTGAGATATTTCAAAATAATAGTAGTTGATTATAAATTAAAACAACTAACAATTAAAAAAACAACAACTTTATTTTCTATAAATGTCAATTTATCTCTTACAACAAAATAATGTACAATAAATAGTAAGCACTAAAACCCCTCATTTCGTACCGTATGATGCATTTCCTGCATTGATCACCAAACGACTAAAAAAAAAACAATATGCACCATAAAACAGTTTTAAAAATCTGATATAATCCAGTAAAAATTAATTAATCTTCTTGTTGTTTATATATTACAGCTAAAAAATTTATATATAAAAGTTAAACACCAAGACAAAATGATAAGTCATTTTAAACGTACCCAAAAAATTTTTTAGGATAGGAAAAGGATATCAACGGTACAGCAATATGCATTTGCTTTTTTATTTAATATTTTTTAAAACCCTCAAAATTTTGATCCAATGAAAAAATTATATGCACAAAATTTTAGACTGATTAGACAAAAAATGAAAATACCAAATGCAAATTTATACTATGGCTTATAAAAATCTTATATAAGGATATACTTAGTTACTATGGCTTATAAAAATCTTAGTTAATAAATATACTTAGTTACTAGGCTCATAGCCTTTTATTCAAAAATATCAAGTTTAATCATTTGTCACGATGCAAACACCTCATGAGTGAGGTGCATACACTTTTCAAAAATTTCATTAGTTTTAAATTGTATTACAAAATTTTCAGATTAATGTTGAATAAGATTTCATTTTTTTTTAATAATTTAATTTATTTTAGTAAAATAAAAACAAACAAATTGAATCTTTTTATTTTTTCCAAACATTTTTTAAACTTCAAGTTAAAAAGCAAAGAGATATTGATATAAGCTAAGGAGAACTACAATACTGAGTAGGGGTATAGGGTAAGTTATGGATAAATAGGGTAAGTTATGGATAAATTTTGTGATAGGGTAATGGAAAAAAAATGTTAAGTGAAGATTTATACATCACGGATAAATGAAAAAAACAGGTGAGGTAGAGGTCAGCTGTTATTGAAAGCATAAAAAAAAATTTGTATGGAGAATGATTATAAGAATATCTTCAATACAACCTTTGACATTCAACAAAATCTATTGATTTTCTGTTATTAATCTCGAAATAGATCACCTCAAAACATTGTGTTGATCCTTTTTTAAACATCAGTAATAATAGAGGCATTAGTTACTCCAAAATTAAATACTCGACTATTTAGCAAATTTATATGCCAAAATTTTTATAATTATAATAATTATAATTTTTTAATATTTGCTTGTTAAAAAAATAAATTATATTGATTTTAATATAATTAAGTTACAATATTTTATAAAAGGTCATAAGAAAATTGTCCAACCAAAATTTTCACAATAAATAAATTTTAGTTCACACCAAATTAACTAAGTTAATTTGATAAAGATAAATACAATAATTCTTATGTTTTTTTGCTACTTTTCTCATGTGTTTAATATGAATAATAGGATTACTAATAGAGTTTAATAAGACAGTTAACCATGTATTATAACTATAAACTCTCAGAAAGATGTGACAGATGTTGTATACTTCATTAAAAGATGCAACAGATGTTGTATACTACATTAAAAGATGCAACAAATGTTGTATACTACATTAAAAGATGTAACAGATATTGTATACTTTGTTAAAACATGTGACAAATACATTAAAATATGAAAACGTTTTGTAAATATACTTACTAGGGTTATAACATTTTAGTTTCTGCGCTTTCCTGTATAAAAAATAGATGAGCTATTTTTATGGTTTAAAAATAACTAAAAAATTATTGGTTTAATTTATCTTTTGAAAAAGGTCACCCTTTACCATTTCTTACACATTAGGTTCATATCAAAATGTTACTGAGGAAAATTGACTCAACCTTAAGAGCTTTAAATTAACAACAAAATAAAAATTATAAAAAAACTTTTTAAACAAAAACAAAGCCCAATATTTCTATTTTACAAAAAACATAAACAAAAACTTGCTGAAAGGTTATAATCAAGTATGCTTTTAAAAGAACTAATGAGCCATAAAAGAATTTTGCGCATTTACTTAAAAAAATACTGAATCATCATATAAAACTATTTCTAAACTAGTCAAAGTTAGTCAACTGTTTCTCTGGTTGTGAAATCTGACAAGGAATAACCATCATCATCTTTAACAATCAGGACCTGGAAGAAAAAGGAATTTGAGAATAAAACGTTATCCTCTGAAATTCATAAATCATATCTGCAGAACCCCGGATTATCTGACTGTAAAAAAGTAAAAAGATTTACTCATACCAAAAAAATAACCAAGCTGTACCAAAAAGCAGCAAAATAGCATCAACACACCAATGCACAGATTCCATAACAACATTCTGGCCTTGGTGACCTTTTTAAAGAAGTAAATAAAACAAATGATTTTTTTTAGTTACTTTCAAATAGAAGCTCATTTATTTTTTATACAGAGAACTGGGGATATCAAACAGTAATAGATACTTTATATAGGTTAGATCTGCAAGCAACTTGCTATCATCCGCCCACACTGATATTCCAAAGTTTTCTGATTTGATCATTTTTTCACTAAAGATAAATAATCAAACATGCATAAATAAAAAAAATTATAACAAATATGGAATGAATAAAAAATAATATAATTAAAAATATAAAATGATTGTAAAATAAAAAGTATATATCAGGTCAATTCACTCTAATAATTCAACACGTGGTGCTGGTTGTCTTTAACCATGGCCCACATTTTCTAACATTTAAAATCAAGTTAATATTATAATTTTAAAACTATTTTTTACTGTAGCTCAGGAATAGGGCAGCTAATTACAGTTATTAATATAATTTTTAAAATTATATTATTAACTAATTTTTTTTTTTTACCGCCCTTTTTTTAATAAAACTGGTTGAAACGGTATTGATTACTTGTTTAGTGGAACCCTAATTATATTAATTTTTTTTAAATATGGCTTCAGCTAGTGCTAATAAAAGACGTAGAGTTGAAACTGAAAGTGGACACTGAGGTCATATATTTAATCCATCTTGGACAAATGAATATTTTGTAATTGAGCAAAATAATTCAATTATGTGTCTCATTTGTTTTGAAAAAATTGCTGTATGCAAAATGTATAATGTTAAAAGACACTATACTACAAAACATGCAGCAACTTATGATTTTTTCAAGGGCTAATATCATGTTGATCAGCTGGAATCGCCAAAGAAGAATTTTATCGGGTAACAATCAAAGTGATGAAAAGTAAAGTAATTAGCTCATACTGTGCTACCAAAATAAGTTTTTTAATTGCAGAAAATATTGCAAAAAGTGTTAAACCTTTTTCTACTGGAGATTTAATGAAAAACTCTTTAAAACAATTTTATAATGAGATATGTCCTGATCTCTTTCACACCAGACAATTACAAGAAAAGATCTATCAAAGATCTATCAAAGAATATTGAATTAGCATTGAAAGAGAAATTATGTAAGTGTGAAGCATATAGTCTGGCAACTGATGAATCAACAGATAGAGGTGATACAACTTAGATAGCTATTTTTAAGTATAACAAGTAATTTTGAAATAACTGTTAGATGTCAGACACATAAAAGACGCTATTAAAGGAGAAGATATTCTTACTGAAGTGTAAAAAACAATGATAAAGTTTGATTTGCCAGATAAAAAAAACTCTCTGGTGTCACTACAGATGGAACAAGTTCAATGAAAGGAAAAAATATTGGATTTGTGGATTTAAGAAATCTGTTAATCATAACAATCTTTCATATCACTGTACATTAGGAACAGTTATGTGCAAAAGTATTAGAAATGAAAGAAGTCGTGGAATTTGTTATCTAAAATGTTATTTTTATAAGAAGTTGTGGCCTTAATCACAGACAGTTTAAACAATTGCTTGAGGGTGTGAAAGTGAGGCAAAGATGTAATTTATTTCTGTCAAGTTAGATGGCTTAGTCAAGTGCAACTTTGAAAAGATTTTGGATATTATTACCTGAAATAATAAAGTTCCTAAAAACTAAAGATAAATTAGGGTTGTATAAAGTATCTAAGGGGTGGAGGGATCTGCAAAAAGTGTTCAATAAAATAATTATTGGATAGGAGGAGAGGGGTATGATCAACACTAAAAGTGCATGCTCTTATTTAAAAAACATTTCTTTATTTACACATATTTCAAATTTATAAATACTCTAAATATAAACTTTTTTATTAAAAACTAAGGAAAAAAAAAAGGAAGGGCATTTTTAAAAGTGTACATACTTTTTAGGGAGGGGAGGGAGTAAAATTTTGATATTTTTGGCGTACGTTCTTTATGGATGACCCCTAATTAATATTTTAATCCAAAATTATTTTTAGTAAAATAGACAACTGATGGTCCTGATCTATAGTTGATGGTCAGGATATTTATTTAAATGAAAATTAAACTGAGCACAATTTTTCATTATGAACCAAATTTTTTAACATCTAAATAAAGTTATTTGACTGGAGTAGTTAATACTTATGTAATAAAAATGGAAATTTGAGTTGGATCAAGTCTTCAAATCAGAGTGCATAAAAGGTTTGGTTTTCTTTTGTTAAAAAGTTTTAAAGGATGAATTAGAATGGTTGTCACATTAGGTAGTAGTTAGAGCACTGGATTTAGGAATCTAAAATCCAGTGTTCAAACCTGACTTAAACCACAAAAATATTATCAGTGAGAAGGGAAAAAAAAAAGCCGTAGGAAAAGATCGTTATTCCAATGAAAGTGCTTTTTTGATTGGTTCATTTTGATGTCAAAAGTGACAAACTTTGATGAAGAAATTATTTGGAACAGAGATGTTTATTTTATTATAAAATTTTATCTAAATTCTTAACAACTGTTATTTATTTATTTATTTTTTTTTATGTTGATTTTAGGTGCCCCAAGAAGTCCTTACGGTCTTATCACAGAGCACGACGGAAGAGCATTTAATAGGAAGTTCACGCCTCCTTCCCAACCGATGTCGCAAAACTTGCCCAGAGGTGGGGTTTGAACCACGGGATCTTACGTTTCTGAGGCAAGTGCGCTACCACTGCGCCACGGCTGCTAAATATTTTAAAGTATTTTAAAATTTTATAACAAAACAACAATTAAAAGTTAGATTAAAATATAGGAAACATAATTTTGATATGTATATATATAAAAATTAATTATAGTAATAATCATGTGAACCCATAGCTTTAATATATAACAATATATTTTTATCATTAAATTAATATTTGTTTTATTAAATAATTATAAACTAATTTATATATAAATACATAAAAAGAAGTAAACTAAAAAAAATTACATAGCAACTTTTGTAGATTCTTCATAATCTTCAACTTCAATGCCATAAAGTTGTGAATCAGAAACATCTAAACTATTACTTTCCACAATTTCTTTTTCATTGACAATCTGGGTGTTGTTTAATACAATTTCTTTTTCATTGACAATCTGGGTGTTGTTTAAGATAACTTCATTACAAAAACTATATGTAGAAATGGTTTCTTGAGTTAATTGAACAGCAATTTGAGAACAATCAGCGTTATTTTTGGTGTCAGAAACATTAAAATCAGTTGTCTGCTTGAATGAATCTTGATTGAATAGAAAAAAACTATCAATTAAAATATTATTCAAAACATAAAAATCTTTTAAAAAAGTTTTCCACTACCAATGTGTTGAGCAATGTTCTGTTTGACATTTTCATCAAGTTTAGCTTTAACATCAATTTTATTCTCATTTTTTTCACAATTATTTTCTCCAGAGTTTTTTTTATTTGAATTTTCAATATTTTCTATGAGATTTATATTGGTTGAATCATCGAAGATCTTTTGTGAAAGATTTATTTCACAATCATCATAATTTCCATTTAGTAGTACTAAAAAATATAATAAAAAACAACAAAATATATTTAAAAGTAATAACTGAAATTTACAACATGTTATGTTATAAATTTCATCATTAATAACATTAATATAATAACATTATGTCATAATGTTAATTATAAATTTAATATTAACAATATATCTTTAGTTTTTATATTTCAATTACACAATGTACATGTATATTGTGTTATAATTGCTTGCATTATTGTAAAGTGATATATAAATTTATACATGCATACATACATACATACATACATACATACATACATACATACATACATACATACATACATACATACATACATACATACATACATACATACATACAGTAGTATGCCTGAGCTTTTTTTGCTGTATTGGTAAAGCATTAAATGAACAGTGCTATCTTATCAAGTTTAACAAGTCTAAAAAAAGTAAATGTTACCAAAAACTGTCTAGACTAAATCAAGAGCTTCTTTCTTTGAGAAGCAAAGTAAATCTCATAGATTTTATTTGTAACTATCACGAGAAAGTTTACTTGTTGAGGTATGAGAATGAACAACGAAGGTATTGTTGAGGTATGAGAATGAGCATGGAAGGTATTGTTGTAATCCTTTTAACAAGCACGCAAAAAAAATGAAAAGTAAGTTTCAATATCTAAACTAATACCTTAATTTAATACAAATACCTTTGGTAATAAATAAATGTGAAACAATATTTAATAATTATTATCATTACTTTGTAGATTCTCTTAGAGTTATCAGTCTTTCATATGCCAAAAATTTTGGTTTAAAAAACTTTGGTTTAATAAATTTCAAAAAATTTGGCTTTTTGCAGAAAAACCCTGCATTGTCAACATCATGATAAAATAGATAATGAACCACAGAAAAAGAAATTTATGTTGACAACCTTATATTAAAAGAAGATCTTAATTTAAGTATTGCAAATTTTGGATGCTCGCCTCTTTTTGTTTCAAAAAAAGATAGCATTGCATAAGGAAAGCTTAAAACTGATAACATAATAGCTCTTACACAAAAGACTGTTGCCAATGTGCTAGGTTTAGAAATAGCTGCACTTTTTTTTTTTGAAACTGAACCACCTGCAAAAAGTTCAGTTCTATCAACGCGATGAATATTCAAGGGTTAATCCAGAACAGAAAGATTTTGTTTCAGTTGTTGATATAAAGCAACACATCCAAAAATGACTTCTTCTAGTCAATATGAAAGAACTTCATATTGATTTTAAAAAGAAACATAATTATCTTAAAGTTGGATTTTCAAAATTTTGTGAGATACGGCCCAAGTGGTGCATTCCTGTGGGTGGTGAGAAAATTCCTGGAATTACTGATTACAAAAGCTTATTGAAATTAATGGTTTGTAGCATTGAAAATAGCAGTTGTATGCTGCATAGCTGTGATAAATGTCCTGGAAAAGATTTTGTTAGATTATATTGACACAGTTTAATAAAAATAAAATTAGTGAAGTTAATTTTTATCAATGGCAAAAATCAAATTTACAATGTAGTTTAGCACCAACAACTTTACCTTTTGATGAATTTATTAAAATGGTTTATGAACAGTTAGATATTTTATCAAAAAGTCAAGTCCAACATTTGAAAACTAATTTAAAAGAAAAACAAGCTTTAGTTCTTCTTGACTTTGCAGAAAACTGTATTTTTCTAATACAGGATGCAGTGCAAGGCTTTCACTTGAATAACAGCCTGGCAACTTCGCTAAGCTGTTATTCAAGCTTTGCTAATCCCTTTGTTGTTTATTTTATAAAAGATGAAAAACTTGATAGTCAAAGTTATTGTGTTAAATCAGATCATTTGAAACATGGAACAGATTATGTTCATTGTTTTATCAATAATGTTATTGATAAACTTAAATTATAACAAACAATTGAACACATTATCTATTTTAGTGATGGAACAGCAACACAATATAAAAATTACAAAAATATTATCAACTTATGCTACCATAAACAAAATTTTGACATTACTGAAGAGTGGCACTTTTTTGCAACATCACATGGTAAAAGTCCTTGTAATGGAGTTGGTGGAATGGTAAAACATCTTGTTGCACAAGCCAGCCTACAGTCACTGAACAATCCTTGATATTTATACATCAAACAAAATTTACAGCTGGTGTGTTCAACATATCAAAGGATTATTATTAATTTTTGTTGAAAAAGTTTCAATAGCTGAAAAATGGCTGAAAACAAATGCCATTTGGAAATCGATACTGCTAAGAGTAAAATTAAACTATCATTAATTGCATAAAAGACCATTGGTCTTACATGCAATTAATTGAAGAAATTATATTAAGAAAGTAACAAAAATATAAGTAAGTTACGGAGCGCCTAAAAAATTGACATTGAAAAGTATCTTTAAAAGAGTTTTATATTATAAGTATTTGTGTTAACGGATTATATTAGCTTAACTTGCAATTTGATATATTAATACATTTACAGATAAAATATATTTGAATTTCCACCATAAAAATCTGACTCTTTTTACGAGTCATCGCTGGGTTTAGAAAAAATATTCTTTTTCTTTTAAAAAAATCTGGTCAGCCTATTTATATATATATATATATATATATATATATATATATATATATATATATATATATATATATATATATATATATATATATATATATATATATATATATATATATATATATATATATATATATATATATATATATATATATATATATATATATATATATATATATATATATATATATATATATATATATATATATATATACATACATATATATATATATATATATATATATATATATATATATATATATATATATATATATATATATATATATAAATATATACATATATATATATATATATATATATATATATATATATATAAATATATACATATATATATATATATATATATATATATATATATATATATATATATATATATATATATATATATATATATATATATATATGTATGTATATATATATATATATATATATATATATATATATATATAATTTAAATAAAAAAAAATACAACTTTTTATGGTCATGAAAGCTGTCTAAGGTTCTTCCTCTTCTTCAATTTCTATTAAATCAAGCATCTCCTATTTGCTACCACTTTCAAGTCACTTTCTACTGCCATCATAAAATTATTTTTATTATTATTTTTTTTTTTTATTGACATTAACTTTTTTAAACTACCGCAATGTTATAATTTATTGCAAAACAAGTACAATTTAAAAACCATCTTAAAAAAAATATTTTTATTTTAAGAGTGCCACTCTTCAGTAATGTCAAAATCTTGTTTATGTTAGCATAAGTTGATAATCTTTTTGTAATTTTTTTTTTCATTTAAATTACATAAATAAAATTCGATCTATTTTACAAAGAAATATTGATCACTCTTAAGCAGACAAGAGCTGTATTTTTAACAAAATACTATACCTAACAACAACAATAATATATATATATATATATATATATATTAGGGTGGTCCATAAAACAACTTTTTTGAGAAAAACCTGCTGACACCCCCTAAATGTGTTTTATCTAATGCAAAAACACTAGGTTTAAAATTTTTTTGAACAAAAATTATTTTTAGGGGTAGCTCAAGGCCCTCAAAAATTTGACGGGTCCCTAATATTTTGAAAAAAAAACTTTTTCTAAAGTATGTCAACCTGGTACTCAAAAGAAGCGATATTGTATAAAAACTTCAAAAATAATAATCATTTTACATAAAAAACATGCCTAAAAAAAATTATTCTCAAAAAACCTGAAAATATTGACTTATTTTATTTTTAGCTTAAAAACAATAGTTTTTATGCATTTATACCTAAAAAAATTATTTTTATAAAAAATTATTATCATTTTTAAATTTTTTATATAATTTTGCTTATTTTGAGTACCAGGTTGACATACTTTAGAAAAAGATTTTTTTTCAAAATATTAGGGACCCGTCAAATTTTTGAGGGCCTTGAGCTACCCCTAAAAATAATTTTTGTTCAAAAAAATTTTAAACCTAGTGTTTTTGCATTAGATAAAACACATTTAGGGGGTGTCAGCAGGTTTTTCTCAAAAAAGTTGTTTTATGGACCACCCTAATATATATATATATATATATATATATATATATATATATATATATATATATATATATATATATATATATATATATATATATATATATATATATATATATATATATATATATATATATATATATATATATATATATATATATATATATATATATATATATATATATATATATATATATATATATATATATATATATATATATATATATATATATATATATATATATATATATATATATATATATATATATATATATATATATATATATATATATATATATATATATATATATATATATGTATATATATATATATATATATATATATATATATATATATATATATATATATATATATATATATATTAATTTATAAAAATAAATATTACGAAACTAAAGTAAAGTTTGTGAAACAAAAAAGTACCGTCACAATTTTCTTGTTGGATGATGCTTTTTATTTTTTTAAGATTTTCTCTTTTCTTTTTGCTTTTATTAGTACTTCTTAACCTTTTATTGGAAGTGGTTTTATTGGAAGATTTACTTTCCATTTCAACCAGAAAGTTTTTATTTTTTTATCCGTTGCGAAGGTAAAATTTACTTCTAAAATTTTTTAGTAATTTTGCCGCTAAATTTTGAAAATTTATTTCAATTTTATTCATCTGCAGAAATTAGCGGAGATAAACTTACATTCATGTCGTACGAAAAGGTATTTTGATGAAAGCCACGCGAGATTTGATTCTTTAGAACACGACAAACTCTTGGAATTGTTAAATCAACAAGATCCCGTAATTCAATACACATCACAAATAGAAAACGAAAGGAAGAAATTAAACTTTTTAGATATAACAGTAATAAATACAAGTAATTTCCACCATGATTTCAAAATCCATCGAATATACGCAACTACGAATATACAAATTACCGAAACATTAAACGTGCAATAACTTCTGGAGTCTTTTAAAGTTTTGTATCAAAATTTTGTTCTCTAAAATACCTTAAAGATGAAATACAATTTATAATAAATATGTTTGTCGAAAACGGCCATAAAAGATTTAGAGTAAGAACTTTAATTAAAAAATATCTCAAAATCAAAAACAACCCTGTTGATGTAGTTGCAGATAAAACAGTAGTTACACATCAATAAAACTCCCGTAGATTCTAAAACTAGGGTCAACATTAAGGAAATGTTGACCCTAGTTAAAAAAATTAAGCATGAAAGACGCTTCCGGATCCACAGAACACTGCAAGATTGCCATGGTATATTTAATTGGATGCACCTCAAAACAACCACACTTAATTTTGACTACCATGAAGCAAAAATAACTGTATCTCTTGAGACCAATTAAACCTAAAACGAATTACGAGATAAAGCACTTTTAATATTTTATAATTAATATTTATTACATATATATATATAAATATATACATTATTTTTTTTTTTTTTTTTTTTTTTTCTTAGTTAATGATAATTTTTTATTGAATTATAAAAAATTGAAAATTTCGCAATATAGACGACGGTTTTTTTTTATTTTCTTTTTGCGTCCATATCTAAGTTGACAAAACTTTTTGAAAAGTATAAAACCTGATGCGGTATCACAAAATGAATTGGACTGCCAACCATGTGGAAGCAATCGTAGGGATTTGTTGAATGAAGATCTTAATAAATAGTACTAAAAGGTCTGTAACTTCTTTTGGAAGAATATAAGTTTTATTTTTAAATCTTGTACTTAAAGATAATGTACTTATAATTGGATCTGATGAGTTCATTTTTACGTGTAAATACATCAAATAAATTATCTTTTTTTGAGCACTTGCGAGCATTTTGTGGCCAATCTTTTTTAGTGATTTTGCTGCGATACTTTAGTGCTTCTTCGCCCGAAGCCCCTACGGGAACAGGAGAATTTAAAATAATTTAAAAATCTTATTATGCTTTGTAAAAAGCATCAGTGATTGGGAACAAAAATATTCCTAAAAGACCCCGTGTTTACCCCGAGCGCGAGGGCAATAAGATATACTATATTATACAAAATATAATTTCATCAACAGGTTTTAAATTTTATCTAAAAATTGTTTTGCGTTCGAATGTTTTGACCATTCAAAATTTACAACCCCCTCGATGCATTGAGGGGTTGTAAATTTTAAATGATCATAACTATCGAACGCTTAAAGACTATTAAATAAAATTTAAAACCTGTCAATGATTTTAAATGAGTTTAAGATTGTCAACTTAATTATTTTATTAACTCAATGCCCTGGCGTTTGAGCCAGGGGCGGTAAATTTTTTGGTGTATTTTGTCCGTAGACTCTAATTAAAGTATTTTTTTTTTAATATTATATTTTGAAATAAGCATGAATTTCGTTTAAAAAGTTTATAAACTGCCCTAAAAAATCTAATCTGAAACATTAAAAAAATTGAATCTGCTACTGAAAACAATAGTAGAAAAATAGCATTTTACAAGGACATTGCATCACTAAATATCAATTATTTCAAAAAAGGGCGAAAAAGGGCGGCTAAATTTTTCACAAATATTTTTCAGAGCATGTATAGCATTATTAAATGATGAGACGACATTGTGAAAAATTGTAATTTAGTTTTCCTGCTCCACCAAAGTTGAAACATTAGACTATTTTGTAATATTTTTTTATATTTTGGCCTTACTTGCACAACTGCATTCAAATTTTTCTTAAAATACTTCAACGATCAAAAGCTAGTCTCAAGGACCTTTCCATCGATGTATATATGTCTGGAAAAATATTAAATTATTTCCATATAAATTGGACGAATCATCACCCATAAAAGTTCTTTTGAAGCACACTTTTGTCCAAATAGTTTGACTTCGAACATAAATATTTCATAATTAATATTTTAATTTTTTCTTTACTTTTTAACATATTCATAATAATTTTTTTAGCTTTTCAATTAGCCACTTGAAAATCCAAAAAAATTAATAAATTTTTTTCTAATTTTGGCTACCCTTCTTCCCACTGTGCGCTGTACTCTATCTAACTTTAGAAAAAAATATTAAATTTATAGATATTTATGAGGAAAAATCCAACATTATAAAAATCCAGGGGTGCATGTTTATATTGATAATAAGAGGACCGAGGGGTCCTGGCCCTCCACTTGCCAATTTTTAAATATAAAATATAAGTCTAGCATAAAATATTCAAATTTTTGTTTATATCACCTCCCCCCCCCCCTCATCTTCACAAATAATACGGAATACATACGGAATGCTATAACAACGCTTACTCAACTTTAACTTAAACAACACTCTTACAACTCTAACTTAATCACTGAATAATACTCCTCTCTTAAATACCATTTCTCAGTACTGGACATCTGTCCAAATATTCTACATTATCTAGCACTCTCTTGCACTTATATAAAATATTTCCTCCTTTTCTTAAGATATTGACGCCAGTTGTTTCCTTCAAGTAATGGAACTTTAATAGCTTTCACTTTGAAACAAGAAAAATTCCACTACTAAAATATACAAATGTGCCAACTGTAAATAATAATACCAACTCAAAGTGAAAGATATACAAATTTGCAAACTGACATGCAAAAATAACAGCTTAAGGGGGAGGGGGAGGGGGGAGGAGGTGAGGCACCCCAAAACCCCTATCGGGACGGCCCTGAGTCTTGGTTACTTTTAAGGATTGCAACGCACATTTCTTTCTTTAGAGGGTGGAGTCTTAAAATGCACTCTTAGATTTTTAAAATGGTTAATTTTTCATTTATTAATAAATATCTATATGATGGCGTTATATTTTTAAGTCGGTTAAATTGCAACCAGAGGGTCGATTTATGACACAGTGTTTTCGCTGGATAACTTTCCGTCCCAACTTAGACCTCCTTATTATTGAAAAGATTGGAGCTAAAATATATTATAAATTATCGGGGGGTATGTATAAAGTTGTTTTAAATCGTGACACACTACTTTTTCTACAAGCGATTTCCCATTTTATTTAACTCCCAGTACAATTTAAGTTGATACTCTGCGAAATGTTTGACACTAAAACGGTATTAAATATAAAATATAGACTGGGGTAAAACTTAATCTTCCAATAAAAACGATATTAATTATAAATTATAAGGTGTGGCGTTAATAACAAATTGTACACTCAGTTTAGACTATTACAGATCTCTTAAGACTATTACAGCCTTATGGTTCCATATAAGTGGTGGAACGTTAAAAGCTTCCACCTGGAAAGGATAGGCAAAAAAAAAATAAAAAATAGTTTGTTGTTATTATTTCGTTACCTGATACCAAAGTTAAATGGCTATTATTCCAACATACACACAAAGTACTTGAACGCAGGGTTCTTAATGCACCAACTGATGTATTTTATTGGCTAAATCATATACAAATTGCAATGGTTTAACTACATAAGTAATTATTTACAACAAATTAAATAGGGATAAGGGCAGCGGGTGTGCATGTATTGAATAATTATAGACGCAGCGTAGAGTATGTACATAGACTTATGGCTTTGGTTTATGTTCCCAAACCTTTGATGGCAAAATACTAACTTTGTAAAATCATTTTGAGTGGGATATGATTTAAAAATGTGTGATAATCTAGATGGTAGCTTTGTACTTGTATTGACGCATTTGGTGAGCCATAGACTAGGCCGGATTAAGGTTCTTGGGGGCCGGATGCTGAAAAATATTTACGGCCCCATTCCTAAAAAAATGAATGAAGAAAAAGCATATATATGAATATGTATTGAATTTATATAGAAATTAATAAACACTTTGAAATTGGGGGCCCTGCTAGTCCACCAATTTTTATAGGCCGGGCGCCTCTTAGGAGCGCTAGTTATTCAGACATTGCCTATAGACAAAAACTCCTTCGTTCAATTTCTTTGTCAATTTTTTTACCAGTTTCTGCAAACCTGTATTAAACTTGGTTGCCCTCTGGATTTTTTCTACCCTATTGCAACATCTCTTTGTATTAGTAACCTATGTACTGACTAAAAAATATACAAGATTTTAAAAACTTATTACAAAAAAAAAAAACAATGTTAAAAGTTGGACCTCGAGTTTTTAGCATGCGAGGAATTGCTTTATTCTCTCGGCCACGAACAGAGTTTGAACTATATGTAAATTAAATTTTTATATACAGTAGAATCCATTTGACTCATTTATTTTTACTAAGTAAAAGTAAAAAAATTAGACTTTTAAAAGACTATTACTAAGTCGGACAAATTTTAAGTTCCCCTTGAACTTTCTATACCTACCGAGAGTCAGATGTCAGACTATAATATTCCCGACTTAACGGGATTCTACTGTACTTATTTTCTAGCGTATATGTAAACTGATAAAATTTATAAGAAATTTTAATTATTTATTCATTTCATTCATGTAGTTACTTAATTCATTAATATAATGTAAGTAATAAATCATAAAGTCGGTCCGCAAATATTTTGCAAGTAAAAGAAAACTGGTATAGTAAAGTGTATAGTAACTTTTAGTATAGCAAGTATACGGTAAACTTATTATACCGTATACTGTAACCAGCGATCCCATATGCGGGAAAAAAAATAATTAAAAATTGCATTACTTTAAGCAGATGTAATTACACATCTGATTTTTTTCGGATGTAGCT